ATTCAAATTTTTAGAAATTTATATATTTAATGGTTTAGCTGCCAAGTTATAGGAAAATTTTAGACATAATTCTACTTATAATAAAAATTTTTAATAATCTAAAATTTCTTATTGCCTTGGCAATATTTATTTAAAGAAAAAATTATTACTTGTTTATGTAAATTTTTTTCATAATAGGTATTCTACTTTTTTTCTAGCATTTCTGATATAAATTCGTCATGATACACCCTTATATAAATCTTTGTCTCTTTTTTAAATTTTTCTTCTTTTGGATATAACATATATTCAATTAAGGCTTTAGCAAACCTTTTTACTGTTTGTTATTACAAAAATTATTAGTATATAATATATATATATATATAAATTTAAGGGTTTTATAATTTAGCACATATGCGTTGTAACGCACCCTCTGATCGACCAATCAAATCGTAAGATCAGGTGTAACGTGAAATCGAAAAAATAGCAATAATTTGAAAAAATCGCTTGTAACTCATAATTTTGCTTATGAAACCACCTTTTGCGCTCTAATAAAAAAAATTCCTTGAAAAATTTTAGGTATAATTAATATTTATCTACAATCTAAACTAATCTTACATTAGTGCTAACCCTTATCCTAAATTAATGTGTTGCTAGTTTGTTTTGATTTCACATTACACCGGATTTTATGAGGTGTGTCACAATGCATATGCACTAAATTATAAAATTCTAAATTTAAATAAAAATTGAAAATTGCTTCTTGAAAAGTTTTTTCATACATTACATCATATTTATCTACTAATTTATCCTCTATTTCTTCCAACCTATTTTCAATATATATAATATGAGAAATTAGTTCTTTAATTCTATAAAGAATCTTATTCTGATTTTCTATAATCTTTGCCAGTATTCTTGCTGTATTATGATTTTAAAATTAAATAAAATTAATAAAAATAAAAAAATTATAATAAATTATTTATGTATATAATAAAATTATATATAATAAAATTAATTGATAATCCATCTATGAATTGGAGAATAGGCGAAATAAGACGTCTGCCATCTTAAACTTTTTTTCTTACTAAGCTAATGATATATGCTTACTAATTGAAAGTTGTAGAGCTAGTCGAGACGCATCTAATGGTAGTTAGATTATCCAAATTGGCCTAGTAGATGGCAAGATATCATTAAAATACGATTGGTCAACTATATAAAAATCTGTGACAGAAATTACATATGAAAATCACCATCAGAGAAACATGGCATGCTCCCATCTAAAACTTTTTTTCTTACTAAGTTAATTGCTCTTGTGTATTAAGTGAAAATTGTAGGGCTCGTTAAGACGCATCTATCGGTAATAAGATTATCCAAATTGGCCGATTGTTTTTGACGATATCTTACTATCAGCTAAGCCAATATGGATGATCTTATCACCATTAGATGCGTCTTGACGAGCCCTACAATTTTTACTTAATACACAAGAGTGATTAACTTAGTAAGAAAAAAAGTTTTAGATGAGAGCATGCCACATTTTGACAATGATGATTTTCCTATATAATTTCTATCACAGATTTTTATATAGTCAGCTAATCGTATTTCAATAATATCTCGCCATTCACTAGGCCGATTTGGATGATCTAACCACTGTTAGATGCGTCTCGACAAGCTCTACAATTTTCAATTAGTAAACATGTATTGTTAACTTAGTAAGAAAAAAAGTTTTAGATGGCAGATGTCTTATTTTGCCTATTTTCTAGTTTATAGGTGGATTATCAATTAAATTAAATATATTCAGAAGTATTTGATACTTCAAAAAAATGAAAGAAAGAATCAGTATCCATATTATCTAATAGCTCCAACTCTTCTCTTTCTCTAATTTTTGAGCTTTCTGCAATGTATTCACTTCTTTTTCTCTTCTTACTTTTTTCTTTTCTTGCAAATTTTTTAAAACCTCTGACTATACTTGTAAACATCTTTATCTTATAATATTTGTAATATTGAAGTATTTTTTATACTTAATAATTTTTATTCTTAATATTCTTAAATATATTCAAATTATTTTTATAATTTATAAAATATTTATAATTACTTATCTATATTTTAAAAAATATAAAAAAAACTTAAATAGTTTCTATAAATTAAAATACGTTTAAATATTTATAATGCTTTAAACTAAACAAAAGTAAAGTTAGTTATAACAAATAAACGAATAATTTAAAAAAACTTAGAAAATTTTAAAAAGCTTAGAAGTAATACGAAGATTATAACTAAGTTTAATACAAGTATAATTAATAACAAATTTTATAAGTGTTCTTAGCTCTTAAAAGTTACACACTTATTCGAATATTTTTGTAAATGTCAAAGTTGTCAAATCTGTTTATATTCAAAACAATGTTGATTGTTAATTTATTTATTAACTATTTAAGCATATTGCATATTTATATATCAACTCATAATTTTACGTGATTTTATTTATTATCATGATCTAATAACAAAGTTTTCAAAATTATTTTCTATAAACTAATTTATTTTTAATTAACTATAATTATATACATAAATATTTATTTTTGCACTTATTTTAAATAGCAAATGACAATATTAATAAAAATATCTAGAACAAATAAAATTTAATATAATATATTTAATTTTAATAATTCTGTACAAATATTAGATGTTTATATAAATAATTAATTTAATACATAAATATTTAAAAAGTATTTTTAGAAAAATTATTAAATTTTGTAAAAAAATAATATAATTTATGCGAAAAAATTAAATATTTGTAAAAACTTGTACTAATGAATAAACACTTATTATATTTTTATTTTAGAATTAAAATAAAAATTTATCGATAAAATCATACTTATAATTTCACAAAATTTAAAATAATATTTATTTACACTTTTACTAAAATGCACCTATGGTGTTTTATTATCTATGTTATATTATCACTGGTCGAAAATTTTTAATATAATAGGTTGATATTAAGGCGAAATGTATAAAATCAAAAATCATAAAATCGGATATAAGATATTCAAATAAATAATATAATTAACAAAATATCAGCCTACAAATAGGCAGAAGTTTAAATGCATTTTAAATTAAAGTCCTAATTAGTGTTTGTACTCGGCCAAAAAAACGTTACTCGGTTAACTAGCGAGTAAACCTATGGGTTACTTGAGTAATCAATAGATATACCCGAGTATAAAATCTTACTTGTTATACCCGAGTAAGTTGTCATGTGATTGGTTATATGAATTATTGTAGCCAATAAAAACTTTATATTTGTTGGTGAATCTACCCGGGTAGCTCTAGTAATTACCCGATTTTCATAATTTCTGAAATACCTGATTAAAAATCTGCTGAAAGATTTTTCGGTAAATTATTATTTCGGCATAATAGATTCAATAAAATTTCAAATTATACGTACTGTACGTACGTACGTATGTACATGCATACATAACTTTAATATTAAATAATACAGTGGTACAAAATTTTGCCGACTTGTTCTGGACAACGTTATTTACATAACAAAATTTACATATCAGAAATTTATACACTCCACCCTATATACTGAGATATCCCTATATCCTTACGTATATATAAAAGACATATGCATTATATGTGATACTTTTCTAAAATAAAATTTTAACATTATAAAATGTCGGCACGTTCAATATTACTAAATTTCATTTAAATACTTGCCCGACATGTTTAGTGCTATAGTGTGTTTAGTCTGTATGAAACATATACATAAATTGTAATTTATCGTTATGTATCGATCATGTTGAAATCAATAACTTAACCGGATCAGCCAAAAAACTATTCAGCAAATTTTTATCAGGTGTTTCAGAAATTATGAAACAGCTGTAACCGGTTAACTGCGGGTAACTTGGGTAATACCCAACCCGGGTATAATCTCTGCATATATTCACTGTTGAAAACTGGATAATTTGAGTGTTGTCAAAGAAAACCTACAACTCAAAATAGATTACTATGATTTTCATAATAATCTATTTTTAGAGTTGTAGATTTTCTTTTGACAACACTCATTTGTCAATTATATGAAAGTATTCTTACCCGGGTATACTTACTCGGGTAATACTTGGGTATACCTACCCGGGTATTACCCGGGTGTACCTACCCGAGTAGCTGTAGTCATTACCCGGTTATCTGATTACTCGCGAGTAACTCGAGTAATACTTGACCCGAGTACAATCACTATACACATTACAGGTTCAGAGCCAGTGTCTAAAGACACATTATAAAAAATTTTAGCTACGTGTTAATTAATATATAACGATGAAAATCCGAATAACATATATACAAATAAAAAAAAAGACAAAATTATACTGAAAAGTGGGTTTGTGATGAATGCAATCATCATTCACACCTATGTTGTAAAACGTGCAAAAAAGTAGCAGTTGGCATATATAGGCAATGTGAATGTGAAAATTTTTTCTAACGACTATTTCACTATAATAGTTTTATATATTCTGTGACATAATTATATTCTTAATATAATCATGAGAAGGGAATCATCCAGGGCGACCATAAAAAGTGCAGTAACGTGATCATGTATCTAATATAGATCGTGGCTATTAGTGCCGCTTATTTGCTCTTTCCAACTGCATATTGTAAAATAGTTATTGTTATTCAGTTATTGTAATTCGATACTGCAATATATATACTGTGGCTGCGCCATAATCACGTTACTGCACTTTTTATGGTCGCCCTGGATGATTCGCGGGCAGAATCTTACTGTGACATCGATGTCACATCTCTTCAGGCATAATTTCACTTGTAAGATGGGGCACGGGCATAAAGCTCCATTTTTCTAGCACAAAATCGGTTAGTTAGCTCATGCCACATTCTGTGAAAATCAACTTCTTATCTTGTTTAAATGTGTACAATGTATGCAATAGAAATCACAGAACAAAAATAGCAAGATAACTTATGATACATGCAGATGGAGAATGTATAAGAGGTGTATCATTGTTAGCAATTCTGAATTATTTTAAAAAATGTCTAACACTAATAACTTTTTTATTCGTAATCGTAACGAAAAGCAAGGAAAATTATATTTTAAGACGTGGCTTCCGCAAGCGTATTTTCCAACCGTGGAATTGCTAAGGAAAAGTGTCCTTGAGACAGCTGTAAAGAAATACAATGACGAGCTTGATGTAGCCATAACAATGTGTAAGCTTCAAGAGTGGAATTCGGCTGTAAAAAAATTGGAACATATATCTAAGCAATTTTCGGTGATGCCCCGAGTAAGTAATTTGAAAAACAAATTACTTATACCTATAAGATGATGACTCTTTGTTCGCAATGGTGTGGATAATTACAACATAGGCCTATGTTGGTGCTCTGAATCCGGACGTATACGACCACCATTAGTGTACGCCTTAGCTCTGCAGAAAGCTAGCTCTGTAGACATCGAAGGGTTCGGGTGCACGAGTTGCATCGTCCGGGCATTTTGCTAGGTCCGTTACGGGCAATGCCTCCGTGTATCTCGTCATCGGCCGTCGGCGTGCTAACTCATTTTAAAATATATTGACATGATATTTTTTAAAAGTTCTGAATTCTTATAAATCTTTTTATGATATATATCAGAAACACTCCAATCACTTATTAATATTTTATTGTGTATTTACAGGAACAACGTCAACGAGCTTTTAGTGAAGCGTATAAAGAAGAAAAAAGACAGGTATAACTTTAGACTTTTCTATAAAAGGATTGGGCCACCGAACTAATTAAAATACCCATATAGCGCGAAGAATACGAAAAACAACAGAACCAAGGGATCATTCGAAAAAATATCGCCGAAATAGTTGACAACTGTGTAGGTTGAATCGGAAATTGATTGGAATGATACTGTATAAATCGTTATTTTTAAGCTAATGCTTAATTCTTCGTTAGATTAACGCGGTAAATACTGGCTGTTCTATAGAAGTCGAAGAAGTGCTAAACGAAGTCCGTGAATGTTTAGAACAGCTAGATTTGTCTTCTATTAATCCAGATGATCCGATAGCCTCTGGAATTTTGGATGTCGCAGAAGGAGTGGATGGGGTGGCCGATGAGTTATCAATAGAGACAAAAGAGGTTCTTAATGAAGCCGGATTAACTGAACCAGAATTTTCGAAGACAATGGATGCTATGTTGGATGAATTTATTAATGGCTATAGCCTATTTGGTTCCGATTTTGATCCAGCTCTTGCTAACCCAATTACTTTTCCACGAGATGAAAGTAATTTAAACGCGCGTAGAACACTACTAACAGTTTTCGATCTGTTAGAAGGGTTGTAAGTTGGAATAATAATCATATTACCATTATCTTGGTTAAAAATATTTATAACATCTAACATGAATTTGTAGAAGAAATTGTTGGGGTTTGAGGCCATTACTAGGAGAAAGCGAGTATAGCGAAGGCTCTTATGTAATTCACGCGGTCTCCAGAGCATTGGATCCTATATTTAATTATTGTAAATGGAGCCTTAAGCGTTCATGGTAATTTAAATTGTCTTAAAATGCCTTATATGGGGTGTTATCAATTAAAACAGCCCTTTTTTACTTTTTTTAAAAAATTGAGTTTTTTCGATTTTCTAATAGAT